ATCTAGAGAGCCTCCCTACTTGATGACAGCTTTGCCTCACTCTACCTATAAAACAGGGATGGGTGGCGAGATCTTCTCCCCGTTGTTTGTTTTTCCAGGATGTGCATTTTTAAAAATAGGGATGATTAAAACTTTTAGAAACCCATTTGTCTGCAGAGTCAGCCAAAGTACTTCTTGAAAAATTAGGATCACAGCAAGTTTTGGAAACATCCTGCCCCACCTCAGCCCAAAGTAAGAGAAAAACAAAATTCTTAAAACACTATTGTCCAATACCCTAATATTAAAGACAAGTATATAAGGCCCATATAAAAATAGATATGGGAAACTTTGTTTTTTATATACCATTCACCCCACCACAGTGGGGGTAGTTGGAGAAAAATGCTGACAGAAAACTGCTTTCGAGTTATTCTTATTGATTTCTTTCTTGTGAAAACAAGACAATGCATCTGCCAAACCGTTAATGTTGCGTAAAAATTTTTCTGGAGTCCTTCCAATGCTCAAATTCCTAATGACTGTCAGGTCATCATTGTAAACATTTAAATTATTTCTTTACTACGCATTGTTTTGTGTTTTGTGTGGGAGCCTGACAATTTTTTCCCTCATAACTTGGAATTTTTTGAATGGGTACACAGCTTAAAAATAAGGGGGAAACAAATATTTTCTAACATTTGATAAATAGCTCATTCAAAAAAAAAAGTTTTAGATCTGTTGAGAATAACCTGAGATGAATTCTTTTATATGTTTTTAATAAAAAATTTTAGTCATGTCTTCCCTACCACTATAAATTTTTAAGTCTGCTTTTTTGTGAACGGATGTATTTAGAGAGTAACAATGCATGAAAGGGTACCCTTTGTTTAAATTTACCTGATAACATCTATGGAAATCAGGGCATTTACACATAAATTCTGTGTGTGGGGGCGGGGAGGGAGGAGGGCATTGCTGCTTTTTGTCATAGGTGCTCACTGGTTAATAAATTATAGCTATAGGGACACTGAGGAATGGTATAGGGACTTTTGATGAAGAAATTTTTTGATAAATATATAATTGTAAATAATATAAATTCATTGTAGAAAATCAGAAAAAGAAGCATGAAAAAGAAAATCGCCTGGAATTCTATTAACTAGAGATGTCCAATATTAACATTTCCAGTAACATAGCCTTCCATCAGTTAATGCTCAAGTGCTACTTTTTCCATCCTTACAAAATGTTTTTGGCTTATAACACTATGCTGTTCAAACCACGGGTCGAGTGGAACGCTTCAATGCTTTTGGGGGCAAGGCAGGTAACAGAGTGTGTTGAACCGGCTGGTTGGGGATTTTGACAAAAATGGAGAATGGAAACCTCCTCAGAAGTGGGTACATTTAGGAATGTGTTATATTTCATGTATATTGTGAACCATTGCAGCTCGTACAGTAGAGATATGTCTGGAGTGAGGGGGGATGGTGGGAATACGCAACGTCTTGATACTGTCAACATGTTACCACAGACAAGAGGTTCAGGCTCTATTAGGAAAGTGACCTAACGATGGTCTAAAACATTTAACGCACCACACAACACCAGTTTCATGAATTGAGTGCAGCTGAAGGTTTCCAACCATTTCATCTAGCTCAAAATAGCAACCTGAACCTAAAAGGATACCTCTTGAGAAAAAATATAAGCCAATAGATAAAAACAAAAACAGAAATAAGGCTGGGCCAGCCAGGTGGTGCAACTGGTTAGAGTGCGAGCTCTGAACAACAGTGTCGCTGGTTCGATTCCCACATGGGCCAGTGAGCTGCACCCGAGCTGAGCTGCCAACAGGCAGCCTGGTAGCTCAGCTGGTGAGAGCGTGTGCTCTTAACAACAAGGCTGCCAGTTCAGCTCCTGCATGGGATGGTAGACTGAACCCTCCGCAACTAGATTGAAAATGGTGACTGGAGTTGGAGCTGAGCTGCGCCCTCCACAACTAAGATTGAAGGACAACAACTTGACTTGGAGCTGATGGGTCCTGGAAAAACACAATGTTCCCTTCTCAATACACCAATAAAAAAAAACTTTAAAAAAAAAAAAAGAAAGAAAGGTTTCTTTTCAGTATGTTATACTTATATTTCAACTTTGAAATACCATAATTTGGGGGTGGGAAGGGCAGTAATGGTACTTAATCTTGTAGGTTATCTTTGGGATGTAGACATATCACAAACTAAATCAATCATTCCATGTGTGCCTGGCACTAGTGAAAAGAGGAGTGTCTGCTATCTAGGAGGTCACCATATATTATTGCTAGAAATGCATTGGTTTGTTCCAGAAATACCATGCAAGTTACTGTCTATCCATAGGTAAAACTGTCAATTTGTACATCGACTGTGTAGCAGGTATACAGTAACCTACATGGACATACGAGTACTTTACTAAGTGAATAAAATCAAAGTGAAAACACTAACAGAAGACCCAGTGCAAATCCCAGAATAGCCCCATAGAATTGTGTAGCCCCGATACATGGCTTCGCTGCACCTGACTTCACTGTCCTGTGAAATACGGCAGTGGATACCATTCACCATGCATGATGGTTGCTGACATGTTACATGTGCTTCACATACAGTAGACTCTCCATAAATGGTAGATGTTATTTGATGAGTCGCCACTGGATAAAAGTTAGCCCCAGTACTATTTGATTAAAACAAAAATACTGAAATCTTAGTTCTGAAATCTGAAAAACAAATTTCAGCACCTAGTTGACTTCCAAGATGTTTGTTATTAGGAGAGCGAACACCAGAATTTCAAATGTGGTCGAAACTGACCCATATTTATGATGGCTGCATTTTATTATATGTAAATTATCAATAAAGTTGATTTCACTCAAGAAAAAGTTTGTAATAAATGAGCTCTAAATTTCCCCAGCAACTGTAAAATTCCATTATCTTCCAAAGTCAGATGATTTGCCCAAGGTCACAAATCATGCTGGGAAAAAAAAATCATGCTTGAACACCAGCTTTGAAGTTCAACCTACAGAGAAAACTTTAGAAATATGATGATGAAAAGTGTATTTAATTCCTATTGAGGGTACGAGCACCTATTCACTGATAGTTCATAATTAGCTTTTTATCAACCAAATTTGTGATTTCTCATTACAGAGTAATTAAAAGTAAGCTGGTAGAGAATACAATGCAATGAAATGGAAATATGGCCACGGTACATTACCTTTAGGTAAAAAAAAAAAAAAGCTGATTATACAACAGAACGATCCAACTTTTGTAAAAATGTATGTGTGGAAAGAAATTTTTTAAGATACCTATTAGATTATTAAACTCTAAGAGGTGGGTTATAGATGATTTGTCTTTTCTTTGTTAGCTTGTCATATTTTAAACTAAAAAAAATACGCACAAGTATTAATTCTATAATAATAATAATTTTAAAATAAAAGTACATTAAAATATTACAACTAGAAATCACTGTGATTAGAGTGGAAATCACTAGTGGGCTGGGTCTGTGTAAACCAGAGGCTATAATCAAGAGGCCCACAGACAAGTTTAAATCAGCTTTTTAATGACAGATTTCTAGTTTCTCTTGAAAAATCTAAAGTCCCAAGAGCACTGGGCTAGAACTACCAGCTACCCCAGGACAGCCGCTGCCCACTTCAAGTGAACTCTTCATTCTCTCATCTGTCAAAATATAAGCATTCAAGATTTCCACCTGTGGCCTAAAGAGTGCAGTAGTCTAAGCCAGGAATATTCAGCGGGGCTGAAATGTAGCACTTTAAATGTAACTGATCCCAATTTTCTTTCAATTTTAAAAAAGTGTAAGTGTGTGTGTGTGTGTATGCACGTGCATGCATACACACACACTTAATGCTAGACTGAAATGGCAAAATAATAGCTGAAATGTACTAGATATATGTGGCGCGTGGAACTATGTGACTTCTTTTCTTTTTCATGCTTTTTATTTATATTTTTCAGATTTTCTAGAAGGAACTTATATAATTTATAATTAGAAAAAGTTTAGGAAAACAGGATTTTTTGGGCTAACATCTCCTATCCCATTCCTTAATGTCTCTATAGCTGCAATACATTGATCAATGGGAACCTATGACAGAAGACAGTAATCGCTACACACACACACACACACACACACACACACACACACACACACACCATATACATACGCGTATATATGTATACAGAATTTGTTTAAGCACCCTGATTCCCATGGGATTTGTCACGTAACTTTAAACCCAAAGAATTCACCTCATGCATTTTTATCCGTAAATATGCCCATTTGTAAAAAAGTAGACTTTAAAATGTTTTAGTAGTATAGAAGACATGACTATTTCTTTTTATTAAAAAACAACTACAAGTTATGATGTAACAGAAGTCACTTCAGATCATTCCTGATGAAACTAAATCAGTATAGACTGGACTTTCATCAAGGATGAAAAAGATGGTGTGTTCCCCTTACTTGGAGCCTGCATATCTGTTCAAAAAATTCCAAATTGTGAGGAGAAAAAGAACTGTCAGGCTCTCACACAGACACAAAACAAGCCCTAGGGGGGAAAGTCATCGAAATGTTCACAATGATGACCTGAGAGAAAATTATAAGCACTAGAAAGACCGCAGAAAATTCCTTTACACAACATTCGTGGACTGGCAAAACTTGGTCTTGGTTTCACCAGGAAGAAATCAGTAAGAACAACTTGAAACAGTTTTATTTCTTGGTGGGGGTAAAATTGCCATAAATTGCAAGTATTTTTTCCACCCTTTTAGGCAGCAAAGAAAACTACAAAAACCTTTTGGCCCTCTCAGGTATACTGTGCTTTCAGGAATCAGCGAAATTCTAAAACTGATTTTTAAGGAACCTCTGAAGAAACGAAAGCCGATCGTCAATTTGGGATGGAAAGGAGTCGTTTTCACCCTTTAAACAAGCTAGTGATATATTTAGACAACAAATGACTTGCATGCTGCAAGCTACTACTTTATGCTAAATGTCATCTGCCCTTTAACCAGGAAGAAACATGGCCACATCCTTACCTAAAGACTGGTAGAGCTCTGTCATTTTGGGGTGGTCCCAGCAAGTTGTTTGGGTCTCGTGGCTAAAATATAAAATACAAAGAGAGAGTTTAGAATTTATAATGGGCAGTAGAGAAAAGGAGAAAAAAACCTAACAACCCGGTTTGCTTTTAAATCATTCAGCATCTTTTTTTTTTTTTAAGATTTTTTTTTTATTATTGGGGAATTGGGGGTATGGGAACAGTGCTGGGGAATTGGGGAAGGGGAACAGACAAGTTGCTGTTGTTTTGTTCTTCAGTCTAGTTGTGGAGGACGTTGCTTCACTGGCCCAAGTTGGCACCATCATTGCGCTCTTCCCGGGCGAGGCAGATCAGTCGCCGGCTTCTGGACGGCCGCTCACTGCGGCTGCTGGCCGCTCACGCTGGCTGCTGGCTACATACGGTAGCCCATGGCAACCCACTGCCACAGGGGGTGCAGCCTACGCCGTCGCCGGCGACTCCCGGCAGCCCAGCTCCAGGTTGAGCTGTTGTTCAGCATCTTAGCTGTGGAGGGCAGTGTCACTGGCCCTCATATGTGGGATCCGAACCGGGGCCCTCTGGCATCCCAAGCCAGTTAACCATCGCGCCACTCGGCCGGCCCACTCATTCAGCATCTTTACTTCAAAGGCCTTCTTCCATTGTGTAGTGTAGATAGAATGTTTATCTTACAAGCACCCCTACCTTTGCTTTCAAAGGTACACCCAACATGCACTTTATTCGGTAACCAGAATTTGTTTTCTTTGTGCACCCACAACTCAGCTGCACTCCTGGTATAATAAAATGACCTTGTTATGTAACCAATAATCGAAAACCAAGATTTCTTCACCTGTCCAACACGGAACATTCAGAAAGGACAGATAAGTGTTATTCCACCCTGTCGAAGAGATACTGGATATTAGTTCAATAAATAACTCGCCTCGCTTCTCATTTGCTTTCACTACCCTGACCTTTTTTCTATTACTCTTTCTTCCTCACATGCAGACCTCCTATCCATGATAGCTTTGTTTCATTTCACCTTAAGGTATATCCAGTGCCCGACTAATATATCATACCTCCCCTCTTCCCAGTTCTTTGAGAATGACTGGTTAGATCTGTACGCTGTAGACACCACTATGCTTTTTCCTATATTTACTTGGGCCTGAATGAAGCATTCACAGCTCTCTTCCATTTCTTGAAGTTTAGCTAAGTGTGGTTGCCGGTTATCAGCTCCTGCCACAAAAAGAACAAACCGCCCTTGTTCCTCATTCAATTACGGGAATAAACCCGGGAGAGATAACTACATATACTTTTCCTTACTTTGGCCCATCTACATAAATCACCATAGCATCATATTTCCAGTTTTTGGGATTACATGACGGGCTTTGATACAGTAAAACGCAGGCCTGAACGATATTGCGGTCCTCATACTCAGGGCCTATTCATGATCTTTGGGGGAAGGGTGGGGACAGAGAGAGGAGAAATAACTTAAAGGGAGACAAGGCAAGGGGAGCAGACAGTCCGGAGGGCTCCCACAGAAAGAGGAGCATGGATGGGGACGCTACAATATCAAGTGATCTCAGCTTAGGTTTTCAACCTTAGGAATGGATTCTGGCTCTGCGCCCCACTAGCTGTGAAATTTGGGGTAAGCCTGCTCAGCTGGGCGAGTTAAAAGATTAGCTGATATAGGTAAGTGATTGGCACCTTCTGGTGCTCAAAACGCAGTCATTTTTGTTATTACGTGGCCCCCAAATTAGTGCCCACTAAAAGCAAACCTTTTATTCGTTGATTATAATCTAGGTAAGTCAGCTGAGCCCAAGACCCTTTGTAGAGAGCAAACACTCACTGCGATTTACTTCTGGGTTTGTTTTTTTTTTTAAATAAACAAAAAGGAGAAACATTCGGTGTGGTTTGATAAATGTAATACAATCATAATGTCACGAAAACATGTGGAAATTCCCCACACTGTACAACTTCAAAGACCATCCCTCTGATATTTCCCGTTCAGCGATTGAGCAGTGAAGGCTACCGAGAGAAATTTACGAGATAATGTTCAGTTGCAAAGGGCTGTTTCAGTCTCTTCCCAACATGCTCATTTCTGGTTTACTTTTCCGCAGAGACATTTCTCATTTGAGGAGCACGACAGGGGCTTGTCAGTCATTAGAATGTACCAGAGTGACATCTAAGTGTTAAAAGAGCGAGAAGAACACAAGACGCAGTCCATGCTTTGGGGGTTTTAGGAAGCCCCAAGACCAAGCTGGTTTATGGTCTAGAGAAGGGGCAGGCGGGACAGGTACTTTATATGCACAGCACAAGGAGGCTGCAGCTTGCAGCTTCACGGAAAAAAGTGTTGCTTGTTCTCAGGCGTTTTTCTAGCCAGGAAAGTGATTGTGTACCAATTCCGTACACAAGTGCCCAGCCAGGAAAGGTTAGCTTCTACTGAGATCACTCTGCATTTCGGCCTCTGCCATGTCCCAAGGCCATGCAGATGTGAGCACCAGGGAAGGGAGAGAGGAGGCGAAATGCACCGACCGGTATCCACAACTACAGGCCCTTATTACACACGCTATGTAATAATAGCGTCCCATCTCCATGACACATAGGGCTGTAGCATCTTCAATGGACAGGCAGAAAAACATCTGTCTGAGCTGGTAAGCTTAACCAGACAGACAGAACCACTCTGAAAAGCCACCATCCAATGGTCTTCAAATCACAGGAACATGGGCAAGAAGTAACTTGCACCAAATGCAATTCTAGAAGAAAAGAGAAACTTGACAGGAGAATCCCACACAGGGTGAATGAGAGCTTCGTGTAGCTTCCTCCCTCCAAAACAACCTCACGACTGTTGATATACTTACATTTCTACGTTTTTAAAGAATTCATTCCAGTGATTCAAAGTTATGAGAAGGATTTCAGAAATTATTTTTAAATCCATCAGTCCTTAGCTAAACTGAAATTTCCTTTACTGGAAGACTCAAGAAATTCTAAGCCCCAACTTCTATCCCTCACTTCATGTGTTACCAGATACTAGTCCTTTCTAGGTACTCATTGTCTCACGTACCTGAGATTCTGAGGGACTTGAATAACCTAGATAAATGACCTCAAACCAAATCCAAAAGCCAATCTTTTTTTTACCTTTTTCCCCTCCAACACACAAACCTTCTATTTTTAAGCAATGCAAAGGAACTAGGAAAACAGACTTATATTTCACCTTCGCAGTCTTAGTTTCACTTCAATTGCAAACCAGTACTACCAAGCAAAAGAAGTGAGAAAAAGTTGGAAAGAAGAATAAAAGGTGTGACTAAGCCCCAAAACTAGAAAAATCATCTTTCAATCACTTTATGCTAAAAACGACTGGCAATATAGCAGAATGACTTCAGGTTTTTGGGTAACTATACAATGAAGCAAATATCCACTTCACTGGATGTGGGTATTTTCACTCTGTGGTGAATTCAAAAGCCCTAGTGAGACATTTAACCCCCCAAACAGATAGGAAAGATGAATATGAACAAGATGAATTGCTAAATACAAATTTGCATAGCTCCTACCTTACAGGGCAAACTGATTTTTTTTTGTTTGTGACCGATATAGATTTTACTGCTCTATTTATTACTCTGTGTCTGTCTTCAAAACCAGGAGAATTCTCAGTAACTCCATGAGAAGCAGCTGAGGTTTACCTGAAATATACATACAATACAGAAAAATATGCTGTGCTGGGGAGGTAGGTGGTGGTGGAAGGGTGGGCGGTACTATTTTTGGTACCTGTCTCTTTTCTGTACTTCACTTTTCATATCAGAAATGCACTCCCCATATACCATGCCCTAACAAAAAGAAAATTCTGAAACCTGTTCACAGGTACATACATCTCTGTTCAGTCTTCCTGAGAACATTCAATGATGTTCAAGATAGATAAAAATTCTGCATATACATTAACACAAAGACAAGCTTCATAAATAATGCTTAAAACACTCTTTAAATCTTTAAAAAATGTTATTGATTTTGACCCTGCTGGTTCCAAAGCCTGGCATCAGATATGCCTCTCTGAACAGCCTTCAAATTCTGACCCTTTTAAAAAATGTGTACAAACAACAATCTCTCTTTTCTTTTAGTTGAGGCCCGGATAGGAGGACCCTGATGCAAATGAAAAGAACAAAAGACCCTGGGCAACACCTACTTGTCAATAATAAGAAATTAAAGCATTACTCTACTGAGCCCAGGGCTGACCTAATTTCCTACCATACAATTTAAATTTTCTCTCACCTTCTTTAGTTTCCAGTAGTGTGCAAGGTTATTATAACCACCTCAGAGCTGTTCCTGCTGTCAGTGCCGTATTGAATAATCAGACTTATTGAAATTGCTTTTTTAGTTTCTTAAAAACAAACACTAAACACTTATAGAAAGTAACAAATTTCTACTGCTCTTGCCAGAAAATGGCAGTTGCCTAATTAAAATAAGATTTCTTCTGCCACCATTGTTATTTGGTACTGAAAATGTTACGAACAGTTCCCTTTAAAAAAATACATCTTTCCATTACTTCCCAGGGAAGAAACTAATCTCTATGCAGCGATATAAAAAGGTAGCGTTCTCTCGCGATCTGCAGAGGATTAGAGTTTGGCTTCATATATAATCTGGAGCCCATTGATCCACACACACAAAATCATTTCCCTTTAATCTGGGGATCAGACTCTTTCTAGAGGAGCCTTGGTATTTGCATGCTGAATGTTGAACTTGGCTTGCAATGCTGGAATACTGGCAGGGTGGGAATGGGAAAATGTATTTAAAAGTTTCTGCTACTGTGGGGAGGGAGTTTGGAGGGGTGGGTGTCAATCAAAGCATCAGATATCCTATTCTAGTCCCATTTCTTTACCCTGGGATAGTTAACATTTTATTCTGCTCGGCTCCAGCTAGGGCAGAGATGATTGCCTGGGTGACTGTTCCAGCTGTTACTTGTCCTCGGTTCTATTTGCTTTTCAGGGCTTAATTCCCACCCACCCTCAACTTTGGCTAAAGCAATTTCACTTCAGGGTCGTGTCCAATCCCAGATCAAACAATGATGACTGAAACCAATT